AGGCCACCCCCAGGAAGCCTAGCCCATTGCCCACCCACGCTACTCCCTGTAGCATTAGCAGGAGCCTGGGAAGAGAAAAGCTCTGTTCACATCCAGCTGCAGCCTGCAGTGCAGTCTTGCAAGACACAAGGGACCAGGTACTGGGACTCTGTCATGCGGGGAAGAATAGAGTATCTGGAGGGAGGAGACACAGAGGAGGTCGTAAAAGGGGGTTGTGGGGGGAGAACAAGTGAAAATTGGGGATACAAATTTGGGGGAACAGGGGAGCACCCAGGTGGGACCTCCTTCAAATGCCTTAACAGTGAAACTTGTCCCCACCCCTCAAGGGATGACTTAGCCAGAGTCCCAAATCTCTGTCCTCCATCCTGAGATTCTTTGCAGGGATTTATATGCTCTTTGGTAAGAGAACAGCTCATACCTCCAGCAAAACTCTGTGAGAACCCTGTTTTAGGAAGCTGGGCCTCGCCTGTACCTAATCTCCTGGCAGAAGCTCCCTGCTGCCTTTGGGGATTTCTAGGCAGAAAGGATTAAGGAGCAGCAAATGCCAGTCCCAGCCTGGAGACACTGAGCCAGTCTCCTTGTTCCCCAATTTGGTAAAAGATACTCGCAGTGGGACAGACAGGAAGGCTCTCACCCTTTCTACATAGGACAGTCCAGCACACTGGGGAACACTGCCCTCCCTTTAGGGATGAAGAGGGTCAGAGGAAGAGTCCACATGAGCACCATCTCTTTTTTCCCTTAAAACTCCTTCCCCACCCCAAAATACACACACACACACACACACACACACACACACACACACACACACACACCACAAATGCTGCTGCTGCCACTACCACCTCCACCCATGACACCAAGTTCCACCCCAATAACTGGAAATGGCCTTCCCCCAGGAAACATCACTGTCTCCCACAGCTCCCTGGGCCTGGCCCTGTGGTGGCTCAGGGAAGGGGAGACCCTGAGCTGCCCCTGCCCAGAGGAGCTCTCAGTGTTGTGAGACAGTTCTAGAAGCATGTGACAATGACCTGCCCTCAAAGAGCATCTCAGTTCTGGGGTTCTGGGACCCCTCCAAAAGACCCAACAGTCCTCCCCACTCCGTCCCGGGAAGTGGGTGCCTGGGAAGAGGGAATGTTCCCAGGTGGCAGAGGGGGTGTGTGGGGAGCCCTAGGGGGGAGAGGGAGCAAAGAGAGGCTCCCCGACACTCTGATTATTCCTACGCCACCAGGGGCCTCAAGCCTCCCTCCCCCTGCCTAGCTGCCAGCCGTCCTGGTTGCCAGTGACAGCTCAGTGACTGGAGATGGTCAGTGTGGCTGGAGGAAACCCACAGGGTGACCGCTAGTAACCCAGCTACACGTGACGGTGGCCAGCTGCCAGTCGGCTCCCTCCTGGAGGCTTCCAGCGGGTAGCAGCTCTGAAGTCAGACAGGCAGTGGCTCCTGGGCTGTCCCAAGGGGATAGTAAGTCCAGGGCCTAAATGCCAGACTGGCTTCTAACACCCACCTGGATAACAGGCTAAGTCCAAGCAGGACTTCCTAAAGGCCCCTGGGTCTCAGGCCAGCTGGTGTGTCTAGACTAGAAAAAACAGAACATGCGAAGCTTACTCACTCCCAGCTGAAGCCGATGGAACAACAGTTCACAAAGCAGTTTCCATTCCATTATGTCATTTCACCTGCCTAACAACCCAGAGGAAGGTTCTGCTGACTCCGACCCTAGGCATGCTATTCCGCCTCTCCGTGCCTCAGTGACCGTCTTTGTAAATTGGGGAGAATAAAAGTGCTTATAGCTACGTGTTCTTTCTAGCTATGTGTTCTTGGCAATGTATTTAACTCCACCGTGCTTCAATATTTCTCATTTGTCAAATGGGGTTAAAAATAGAACCAACCTCATGGGATAGTTGGGAAAATTAAATACGTTAATTCAGTTAATAAGTTAAATAAGTTAAAACAATGGCTGACTACACAGAAAGTGCCCAGTAAATGCTAGCAACTATTATTATTTCTGTTATTATTAATCATAGGATTGTTATGAGGATTAACAAAATAACAGCAGCTGACATTTGTTGCATATTAACCATGTTTCTGGCACTGGACTCTGTCTTTATAGGAATTACCTTGTGGACAATGTTGCGTTCATGCTGAGTGCAGGACCCAACACATAGAGAACCCTCAATAAACGGCAGCCACTATCATAATTCACCCTCTCTCCCATTCTGCAGAGGAGGAAACTGCTCAGAGGTTTAAAGACTTGTCCAGGGCTACAAAGCTAATAAGTAGGAGCACTTCAACTTGAATCCAGGACTTCTGGAAAACAGATCTTGACAATCCTACAACCCTCACCTCCTCCCTTTGCCTGGTCCTCAACATTTGCTCTGTAGCTAAAGCTGGTTTCCCTTCAAGAAAGCTGCCAGAGGACATATCTGCTGCTCAGCTGGAAGGCACCGAGGCCGCTCTGCACACAGCTGCCATCAGCGCCTGCACTGGGAAGGGCTGAGCTTGCCTCCTGATGGCCTTTCCCCTGCAGGAGGCAGCATCCAGGCTCCAGCAGGCAGATGTGTGCAAAGGAATGAGACGGGGTCATGGACATTCCCAGGAAGCAGACCTGACCCCAACTCCAGCTCTGCCCTTCTATCCAAATGTCCCTCTGCTGAGATTCTGTGATAGAGCCCACCAGAAAAGAGCTCTAAGTCCTCCCTAAATTGAGCAAAACCAGTCCACAACCAGCACCAGCCAGCTGGAGGGGTGACAGGTGTTTGCCCGCATGTTACATCTCACAGGCAATGTTTCACTGAAGACATGACTTCTGGACTGTGGGCAAGTCACTTCCCCTCTCTAGGCCACAGTTTCCTCTTCTGTAATATTAAAATACTAAGACTCATCTAGTTGGGTTGCTCTAAGGACCAAATGAGAGAATGAGTATCAGAGCATAGGGCCTGGCACCCAGTAACACAAGCAGGAGGGGCGTTGGCACACAGTACATACTCCACAAACGCTCACTGAACAGCTGAAATCTGACAGTCCAGAGCACCAAGGTGCACAGTGTAAAGGGGGCATGAACAGCGTGGGGTGAAGAACATGAGGACGTGAGACCTCGGCCTCTACTGAAGGAAGAATAAAAGCATGTGCATGATGCAGGTGGCTCCGACCTGGAGAAGGACACTTTCCTGAGACTTTACAAAACTCCACTTACCACAGATGGTAGAGAAGCTATGTGGCAGAAGGCACAGATGACAGCCACAGGGAGATGCGAGCAGTGAGGCAACAAGGAAGCAATGGAGCTGTCTTTACATTTGATACCCAAATATTCATAGCATGAGCTGGTCCTTGTCAAGGAACAGACATGCACTGAGAAGGAGCAGGGGCAGTGGTGTGCTGGGGCTGCCATGTATCTGCTCACAAGAGCCAACTGTTAAGTTTTCAGAACTTTTGCTAACTGGTTGTTACACATGGTTATTAAATATTATTAAAAATTATATAGGGGCCGGCCCCGTGGCTTAGCAGTTAAGTGCGCACGCTCCGCTGCTGGCGGCCTGGGTTCGGATCCCGGACATGCACCAGTGCACCGCTTCTCTGGCCATGCTGAGGCCGTGTCCCACATACAGCAGCTAGAAAGATGTGCAGCTATGACATACAACTATCTAGTGGGGCTTTGGGGGGAAAAAAATAAATAAATAAATAATTATATAAACTTGCAATTAAGTAAATGATATTAAAAGCAATGATAATAAATACTCAAAACTCATCACTTCTATTTTACTATATTTTACTACTATCTATGCTCTCGAGGTTAGTTATATCAATGATATCTGTATAAAAGAAATACTATATCATAGTGTGCTACTGCACATTTGTTCCCAAGCCCATGTTCAGTGACATCACATTTTAACTTGCAATCAGCCATACAGTATTTACACCACAGAAATGGGCAAAGCTACAAATCACAATCCCCTCCCTGCCCTGGAGAGCTGGTTGTTAGACATTTACCAGCACACCACTGACAAAGAGCCTCCCCACTGTTCCAATGCCTCCAAGGGAATGGGATTTTGTGAGACTTTGAGTCGTGCTGTGTTTAATGCTTAGGTTGTGTTTTCTCTGTTAATTAAATCTCTTTCCACAACTTTGTGTTAAGAATGCTTACAGGGCATTTCATGAGGCTAATGGTCCCAGGAGTACTGAAAGGGTACATTTCTGCAATGACTCATACAATGTGGGGGGCTTCATGAAGTGTGCTGCTGGAATGAAGTTACGCAGAAAGACATCAAAAAAAGAAGATAAACTTAGAGCCTTTTCTTGTCCTCCTTAACCCTCAGAACATTCCTGCAAGTATTCAGTTAAATAAACAGTTATTCCATACTCACCACAGTCAAGGCCTCAGGCCAGAGGGAGAGAAGGAATACACATAGTCCTATTCTTAGGAAACTTGCAGCATGGTGAGGGGAGCACTCTCTCTCACCATCACATTGAGGCCTATGCTGGCCTCCCTATTTTAAATTATAGCTCCCCGCTCCCCAGCATTCCCAATCCCCCTTACTCTTTTTTCCCCCATAACCCTTGTCACTTTCTAAAATACTATATAATTTACTTATTTTTCATGATTGGATTTACTGTCTTTCTTCCTCTTGTAGAATGTAAGCCCTCAGGGGCAAGGATTTTGGTTTGGTTTGTTTCAGTGCCTCGCATATAGTAGGCCATCAATAAATATCTATATATATTTTTTTTTGGTGAGGAAGATCGGCCCTGAGCTAACATCTGCCAATCCTCCTCTTTTTTTTTTTTTTTTTTGCTGAGGAAGACTGGCCTTGGGCTAACACCCATGCCCATCTTCCTCCACTTTATATGGGACGCCACAGCATGGCTTGACAAGCGGTGCATCGGTGCGCGCCCGGGATCCGAACCGGCAAACCCTGGGCCGCCACAGCGGAGCGTGCACACTTAACCGCTTGCACCAGCAGGCCAGCTCCCATCAATAAGTATTTTTTGATATTTATACCTAATATACTAGAAATACAAATTCCAGTTTGTGCTCCCCCACTTACTATGTGACCCTGGGCAAGTCACTGTACCTCTCTGAGTTTCAGGTCCTCATACGTGAACTACAAGATTTGGACAAGGCTACCTCTAAACTGGACGATGAAAAACTCAAAATTCAATGAGTCTCTACTAGACATGCCATTGAAGGTATGTCTGCGACATCCATAGCCACTTCTACAGGAAACTGTCTTTCTGCAGCCCCCAGCCCCCGACAGCCATGCTCTGAATTCCACCGTGCAGCCATCTGGCTTCCTCTAAACCCTTAACTCCTCTCTCCTGCCATACCAGCATGAGCACCTGACCCCAAGGCAGACAGAGGCTTACTATAAGGCCAAGGAGAGAGATCTGCCCAGAAAGACAAGACTGCACCAACCTAATTCCACCCTTAAGAATTTAAATTGGGAAATACAGATAGAATCAGGCAGTATACAGACGCTTAAAGGTCACAAGGTTGAGACAAACTGTAGAGGCCACAATTAGCCATAAATGAACCAAGTCAGAAGTCAGCAAAAACCACGAGGTAGAGAAAAGACACAGAGTATATAGAGAGGAAGATAGTTTTTAGCAAAAAGAGAAGTGTGCAGACACAGAGAAGCAGACCTAAGGGACGGTACGTGTGGCGTTTCTGGGGAAGTACTTTAGAGAAGATCCTTAAAGTCTGCTGCTGAGACCCTTAGAGGCGCTGGTCCACCCTCCACCTCCAGTGCCATACAGTTTGGCCCTATTTTGACTGCTGTTCTTCACTTTCCACGAGATGGTCTCCCCTTTGCCCCAAAGCCTTTCTCGGACTAGCGTGACCAAGTCTCTATGCATTGCAACCAAAAGAACCCAATTCAGAGACTGAGGGCAAGCCCCACAGACAGTCTGTGCTTGATTGAGTCTATGTCCTAGGAACTTGTCTCAATGGCTTGTGTGACTCTGCACCTGTTGACCTCCGATGGGGCACTGCTCAGAAATGAGGTGGACCTATTTCATACAATTTCCTTACAAGATCTAAACAAGGAATAAGATGGTTTGGGAATGCAACAGGAGGAAAGAGAATGAACGTTTATTTAGCTCCCACTGCCTGCAGGGCACTATACTAAGTGTATGTCACTTCATCTTTGCTGCAACCCTATAAGGTAGGTATCACACCCATTTTGAGGTTTATTGATAAAATGGAGCTTTCAAGAAGTGATTTTTTTTTCAAGATTTTATTTATTTATTTTCCCCCAAAGACCCAGTAGATAGTTGTATGTCATAGCTGCACATCCTTTCAGTTGCTGTACGTGGGACACGGCCTCAGCATGGCTGCAGAAGCGGTGCATCGGTGCGCGCCCGGGATCCGAACCCAGGCCGCCAGCAGCTGAGCACGTGCACTTAACTGCTAAGCCACGGGGCCGGCCCCGGATGAATAACTCTTTAACATTAAGATGTCAGTGACATCCTAATGCCTTGCCTGCCTACATATCACCAACACAAGCCAGGATGGAAGTTTGAAAAAAATTAAATGAATCTGCATTATCATTCTGGAAATGAGATGACTTGATTTTCAGTGGTCCATGGGAACATCACCAACTCTCATCCCCCTCTCATTTTTCCTCTCTTTGCCTTACTCGGCTACCTAACACTAAATCTACTCATGTCTCTGCCTGTGAGGTCAGCCTCCCAAATCAGTTCCCACTTCTGATAGGAGCAGGAGGTATTATCAGTAGCCTGTGTTCCCTCCCTCAATCCTATGAGTTTAGAAATTAGTCATACTCCCAGATCCAAGATCTGGTGTCCTAGCCTCAAAACCACTGGGCTTCCAAGATCCCACCAACCAGAGACCTGCATCATTTAGGAATAATAATAATGCAGGCTTTTAGGTTAGACAGACTTAGAGTTAAATTCCAACTCTGTCACTTGCCCTTGCACAGGGACACTGTATTAGTCAGAATGGAATAAGCAACAGTGATAAAAACTTAGCAACCTAAGAAAATTTATTTCTCATCACAACACATGTCCAACACAGGTTAGTGGAAAGCAGTGCTCCATACAGCCACTCAAGGACCCAGGCTGAAGGAGGCTGTATCTTGTAATGTCACCATCACAACACATGGTCTTCAGGAACACTAAGACAGTAAAACAAGGCTAAAAGGTCAAGCTTGAATTTTTCACCATGCTATCATGGAAAAATGACACAATTGCGCTTCTGTTTATGGTCCATTGGCTAGAACTGGTCACATGGCCCTAACTACCTGCAAGGGATGAGAAAAGCATACCCTTCCATATGCCCGGGAAGTGGAGAGAACTGGATATGGCTCAATAACTCTACTATAGCCAGTATCACAGTATGTGATTTGTAAGCTTCCATTAAGCTAGTGGAAGACCCTGTAGTTGGTGTAACTACTCATCAGAGGACTTCATCCCCGCTTCTCCCTCACCCTCAATGGCATCCACAGTGAACTGGCTTATGTCCAGGGCCCTTCTTCCTGGTCAGTCTTGCTTTACTTTCCTGCCTGTCCACCTCCAAGCTTGAGGCCTGCCCCGAGAAAAAATCTGTAAGACAGGAGGTTTCATGTCTTGTCCAGCTCTTGTCAGTTCTTCTTAAGACCAGTCTATCAATGTTTTTAGCAGTGAAGTCATTTTCAATCTTCAACTTCTTGGGGGCAAAGGGGCCAAACAATCCACAGTCACAATAAATTTACTGCTGAAGATACAATCACTCAGCTGTCTTAAGGAAGTGATCAAATATGCAGAAAAGGATTATGTACAAAGATGCTTATTGAAGCACTGTTTATAAGACAAAAACACTGGGAAAAACCTAAATGTCCAGCAAAGGGGAAAGTGTATAAATATAAATCATCCACTGATGGATATACTGGTTCTGTCTGCCAAGTTCATCAGGGTAAAAACAAAAGACAAACTCAGATTATTTATTGTGATGGAGTTAACTGGCAGCTTCCCCGTCACTGTGGGTCACAGTGTGACCTGCTCTCATTTTGTCTGCCCTGCAATTATATTTTCCCAAGTGGATTTTACTGGGTCATTTTAGGGCCATTCTATAGAGAGCATCTCTATCGAGCAGCCTATACATAGTTGGACAGCCTTTGCCAGTGCATTGGTCCCCAATCTAATCAGCTGTGTTTACGGGAGCAGCTAGCTCTCCTTGCAAGTAAGGAAGGTTGTTCTGGTCTCTAATGAATCCCCCTTCAGTCTGTCTAACTCAGTGGAATATTATGCAGTCTTTAAAAATGGTATTTAACAAAAGTTTTTAAAGAAATGGGGAAATATCCAGGAAATACTATAAAGTTTAAAAATATTATAAAGTTTAACCTATAGTCTGACACATGCTACAACATGCATGAATTTTGAAGACATTATGCTAAGTGAAATAAGCCAGTCACAAAAGGGAAAATAATGTATGATTCCACTCATATAAGATACCTAGAGTGGTCAAAATCATAAAGACAGAAAGTAAAATGGTAGCTGCCCAGGGCTGGAGGGAGGGGGTAATGAAGAGTTATTATTTAATGGATCCATAATTTCAGTTTTGCAAAATGAAAAAAGTTCTGGAGATGGATGGTGGTGATGGTTACACAGTAATGTGAATGTACTTAATACCACTGAACTGAACACTTAAAAATGGTTAAAATGATCAATTTTGTTATGTATATTTTACCACAATTTTAAAAACTGAATCTATAGTATCATCTCAAGTGTGTGTGTGTGTGTGTGTGCGCGCGCGCGTGTGCGTGTGTGCCTAGAGCTCTGCCTTTGGTAATGAGGAGAAGATGCTACAGTTTCTTCCCAAATGTTCTTCCTTTAGCTAGTGCAAAGACTGGCAAACTACAATCCTCCAGCCAAATCTAGCCTCCCATTTGTTTTTGTAAACAAAGTTTTATCAGAACACAGTCTTGCCCATCATTTACCTATTATCTATGGCTGCTTTTGTGCTACAATGGCAGAGTTGAGTTGAGAGACAGTATTGCCCAGAAAGCCTAAAATATTTACTATCTGGCCTTTCACAGAAAAAGTTTGCTGACTCCTGCTTTAGTGCATTGAGGGCATACAGGTAGGCCAGAAGAATGATCAAAACTTTAGTGTGGGTTCCAAGTCCTATATTTCAAACCAACAGAGTCCACAGGCCTGGAGATTCCAGAGTTGATGTCTCTTCTCTATTCAATTGTTCTCTAACTTCTCAACAGGCTCAGAGCCTTCATTCTAGACTTGCAGGACACCCCATGAGGCTACCCTGGACCCTACAGGTGAAGGAGACAAAAGGAAAAGAGGCTCTCATGGTGGATCTGATTCGTTCTCTTCCTGGACTTGTATTGCCCAAGACCTTCTTCAGTTACCCACAATGTGGAATGTACTAGAAAGCAGGGGGAAAGGACATCATGTCACATTTGCAAACACAGATATAGTTTAGAAATCTGGAAGGATGTGTACCAAAAAATTAACTGTGATATCTCTGAGTTGTGAGATTATGGATAATTTTTAAATTCTTCTCTACAAATTTTTATATTTTATGATTTGTTACAATGAGCATGCATTGCTTTTATAATCAGAAAATTAAGTTATTTTCATATTTTAAAAATTAGTAATGGAGGGCCGGCCCCGTGGCTTAGCGGTTAAGTGCGCGCGCTCCACTGTTGGCGGCCCGGGTTCGGATCCCGGGCGTGCACCCACGCACCGCTTCTCCGGCCATGCTGAGGC